ATAAGATCGTTTCATATTAATTAATCAGTTGGTTTGGTTTGGTTTCCTTCTTAAATCTCCTCAGTGTTAGCCACTTAGCCTAGACTCAAACTCTAGCTAATTTACTAGATAACATTTAGCACTTATTCATTTCTTTTCAAAATATTAAACGTTTTTTATTTAAAATTTATTTTAAAACAATATTGTAGTTAATTTTTTATATTTTAAAAAAGATAAATATTGTATATTTATTTTAATTCAACTATAAAAATATGTAAAAACACACATTATTTTAAAATAGAAAAAAATAATAGATTAGACCCAAGCTTCCATTTTTTAAATATATTGATTGAAGTGTTGGGTCAGTAATTAAATAACATTTTTTTTCTTTTATTAGTTTTTGGTTAAACCCCCATTTTGGTCCCTCAACTATCGTATGGACCTTCGACTTAGTCCCTCAACTCAAAAAATCCCTGATTTGATCCTTACTGTTTACCATTTTGACCCCGATTTAGTCCCTCTGTTAAAAATCCAATGACATTTCCTGTTAATTAACTGGAGCATGATGACGTGTCCAAATAATTTGACACATCAGATACATATCTGAAAAAAAAATGACAACATGATAAAAAATGATGACATGGAAAAAAATAATATATCAAAAAACTTAAAAAATTATTTCTTTTTCTTTTTTCTTCTCTTTTCCTTTCTTTTCCCCTTGCAACCCAACGTCTACTGGGTTCCTTCGAACCGAGGCTTCATGGGTTTCACACCTGGGTTTCACACCTGGGTTTCAAGGAACCCAGGGCCTGGGTCTCGATGGAACCCAAGCACTAGGTTCGCTCGAAACCCAGAGCCTGGGTTCAATCGAACCCAGAGCCTGGTTTTCCCAAGCGTCCTGGGTCTCGATGGAATCCAGGCATCTTGGGTTCAATCGAACCCAAGCTGCCTGGGTTCAATCGAACCCAGAACGCCTGGGTTCGTTCGAAAAAAATTCTCTTTTTTTTTTTCTGTGGATTTGGTTGGTTGATGATGATGAAGAAGGCAAAGCAAGATGAGGAACTCGGAACTGGGAAAAATAAAAAAATTCTTTTTATTTTTTTATGTGGATGCTTGTTGAGGAACTGGAGAGCATTGTTGTTCTAGGTTCGAATGGGTTTAGGGAAGAAAGGGGGAGAAGGGTTCAGGCTTTGCAGGAGGTGGGGCTCACTTTTTTTTCTTGTTTGGTTTTGGGGGAGAATGGAACATCATACTGCCATGTCATCTTTTTTTTCCAAGTGTGTGTTTGAGGTATCACTCTATTTTTGACATGTCATCATACTTTTGTTAATTAAGGACACGTCACTGAATTTTTAACAGATTTTTAACGGAGGGATTAAATCGGGATCAAAATGGTAAACAGTAAGGACCAAATCAGGGATTTTTTGAGTTGAGGGACTAAGTTAGGGGTCCGTACAATAGTTGAGGGACCAAAACGGAGGTTTAACCTTAATCTTTTTATGTTTAAAACGATCATTTCATGTTACCCAGTTGTTTTGCGTCTTAAGTTTGGTATAAATTGTCTCTCTGAGTTGATTATTTAGGAAGGGGGGCAACTGTTGATATATATGATTGGAGTTTAATGTTTTTATTTTTTAGGATTTTAAATCGGGTAATTGGATGGACCAAACCGTGGGTTTGTGTATTTTCTTATTAAGGTGGGTTATGGGAATTTCATATCAATTTTAGTGTTTGGAGAAAAACAAAGGAAAACTCCGAGAGACGAAAATTTTATGTGGTTCGACACTGATTATAGCTGTCTACTTCTGTTGTTTAAGATACTATGGACCTTTTTTCGTAGAATGTTTTGGAACTTTTATTTTTTTAAAATTGTTTGTGAATCATGAATTTAAATTTTTATTAAAAAAAATTTTAAAGTTGTTTTTATAAATAATAAAAAATGAGTAAAAAATAAATAAAAAAGATATTTAAAAAAAGTAAAAGTTTAAAATTTTTTAATATTTACTGTTTAATATTTTTTAAAA